TTAAATAGGAGTTCTATATATGCAATCAGTTTCTTTTGTCTGTTGTTTACTGACAATTTCTGAAATATTATAATTGACCAAGACTTTTAGATGCTGGAATATGCAAATTAGGGAATTGCTGGGACACAAAGCATTAAACTGTGCCTTGTAACATCCAGTTTTATAATGGCAGAATTTCAGTAACTCTTTCCAATTTACATCGATGCTGTAATATAAAATTTTGTTCTACCAATGTCATTTCCTGCAGATGAAACAGAAGAGATTAGTTATTAAGAGTATTTTTAAAATGCCAAGTTATCACTTAGAACATGTAATTAAGCTATACAAACATATTTGATACATATACAAAGTACATATATTCTCTGAGTTTTCATAATTTAAATCCTTACTATCATAGGTAAGGTTCAACTATGTATATCCAAAAAGATTTAAATTACATTGCTTGCTTTCTCTTCTGCCTTACTCTGCATTATTCCACATTGTTTCTAGATCACACTTTTGTCTTTGATACCAGTCTCTTCATTGATGTTAGGCAGAAATTGACTGCTGCCTATTCCAATGTATCTGCAGTGTGGATATTCCACACTTCAAAATTAGTTTGACACCAGTGTAGGAAAGCTTTTTCTCAGGTAACTGACTTCACCATCTTAATGACCAGTCTTGAATTTGGGAGTTTTAATATTTTGAAGAACCATTAAAATTTACAGAATGATGACACAGTGGTGATAAGTTGCATATTCTTTTATTCATTTAAATAGGAAGAACGGGAAATCTATATATGGTGCAATGTCTGAAATAAAAGTGATATGCAAACTTATGCCAGAAATACCACTGTGTCTTCTCAAGAAACTTTTAGATACGGTAAAGAGCACATTTCAATCCACTGGGAAAATGAAGGAAACTTCTGGTAAGGAGCACATTCCTTTAAAAATTTACACCCAATGCATAGTCACGAACTCCTGATTATTTTTTTTCTGAACAAGTATAAAGAAGTTTTTGTACTTTGTCTAAGTATATTGACATTATTTCAGTTTCAAAAATCATAGAATCATAGAATGATTGGGGTTGGAAAAGACCTTCAAAGATCATCTAGTCCAGCCCCAAAATAATTTACTCCATCTGTCTCTACCTAAGGAGGCGCAAAAAGTACAGTTTTATAATCTGAAAAGAGAAAAAAAAAAAAAAGCTGCAGAATGAAAATAAGGAAGGTAAAAGCCTGTTTTACAAACATGCCTGAATGCTTCAAAAAATCCCAACCCTACTATAAAAGAAGATCCAGCAATAATAATTCATGTGCTATACCAGCTTATTTTAGACATTGTCACAGAGCACTGAGAGAATTCATCTAACTAAATAAAAACTGAACTGACACCATATATTGCATATAATGCATTAATAACAAGGTTTTAGGTCAATGTAAATCAAGATGCAGTCTGATTCTACTACCAGTAGTTCTCAGAGTCTCCAATTCCTAAAGTAAGTGTTCCTCCACATGTCTCTAAGAGACAAGCAATAAAAACTGCAGCATATTACTCATCATCCTAGGTTCATCAGCTATTTTAAGCATTAAAGATTAGCTTGTAGCATAAAAAAAAAAAAAGCTGAACTTTTGGGCTATTGAAAAGACTATTTCCTTCATCCTGTACATGTGTAGTTTTAGGAAGCCTGTAATACTCACAGTCAATCCGTAAGGAAGCTGAAGTGTAGCCTCCCTTCCATAGGGTGCCAGTTACGCTGGTAGAGCAGCCTGATCAAAGCTACAATCCTGTTTTTTCTTCTCTGTGCTCACTTTGTACAAGACAGTTTTGACTGCAGTGAGAGACCTACAGAATTTTTGCAGAGTGTCATTAATTAAAGATTGGGAAAACAGACTTCTTCTCTTGCATGCTTACAGAAGTAGAGTGAAATGTAATTCTCTTTCCCTGTCTCTCTAAGCAATCCTATAATTTACTCACATCTTACTAATCACAATGGCAACTTCAAAATCAGTTTCAGCACTCCTTAGTGAGAAATGTGGATTTAATTACCTGGGGGGGGTTAAAATGTTTAGTTCACTGATCTACCAAGGCCAAGATTACTGTATCAAGGGACTATTCATACCATTCATGGGAATTAAGTGTCTACATACGATTGAGAATTTGCAGGTTACTTATATTTTATTAGAGGCATTAGACCCTAGTGTGTTTTATGGGTATGGTTGGGACCAGCCACTGCAAGCAGTGACAGGAAGAAAGACTGATACAGATAGTGGTAACAAAGAAGAAGTTAGAATAAAGGCGTATCAGATTTTAGGTTAAATTTGGAACCAACTAATATTGTCATAAATAGGCTTGAATGTAGAGTGGCTGTTTCTGTAGTTAATGAACAATCTAGTTTGTGCATGCTTGAGTGACTGACAGTTTCGTAACAGCAAACTCTGTATGACAACCATGCATAGCTTCAGCAATAAACAAACATTTTCTTGCTGCCTGCTGCCTGAACTAATGAGCCATTTAGTTGGGATAAATCAGGTTATTGAATGGATGTTTCAGGCAGCTAATAGGCCCAATCCTGGTGCTGATTCTCATTCAAACTGGTACTCAAGTAGAATTAAATTCTCTATCCACTGAGTGAATAATGGAATGAATAATGAGATTTCACATGAGAAGTCACTGCAGGATAAAAAGACTACATAACTTTAAAAAAATCATCTTTGTGAATACAAAATATTTCCTGCTTGGTTTTGGAGGAAGAAATATTTGATCAGACAATCTGAGACTAGACCCTGAGGTTACGAGAAACTCCAAAATTCTAATGCTTATTCTTCCTGATTTTATTTTGGGCTTCAGTGTTTCTACCTGGGAAAAGAAAAACACACAGTTTATGATGGCTTGCCAAGATGACTATTTCCAAAAGTACTTTGATGAAGTCAGAGTTGGAAAATTTGCTTATAGAAAGAGTATTTCTAAAATCGGCATCTTTAAATTGATCTTTGCATGCATCTTTCTGAACTGTTATTGCTGAAAACACTCTGTAAATGATCTTCAATATTGTGAATTATTTCATAAAACATAGAAAATCAAATATATTTAGCACAAATGGTTTAAAAATTGCCTTTAGTCTCGTCAGTGTGCGTTTCAGAATGAGTTTTGACAATTCTAATTGATGAGACCTAGTTTAACAAAATATAGAGAAATTCTGTAATCAGGCCACAGGATGTTCTGTTTAATTACGATGGTGTGCATTTCTATTTGTTTCTACTGTAGAAGATCTATTCGTAAAATGAATGCCCATTTTGTGGTCTGTTATGCAGAAAATGTCTAATCCTGTGTTTGATTTACTTTGTTAAATCTTCTTTATTGAATGTGCTTATTCATCCATGCAGAATTGGGTATGCTGCTTTCTGTTAATATGACATTGCAATTAAATAGCTAAAGAGAAAAACATGTTAAGACATTTTCTCAAGGTCCATGAAATTCTCATAAAAAATATTCATACTTACACATTTTATCTCTGTATTTGCTGATATTAGAACTGTAAAGTACAGAGATGTATTTTTGTGTTTTATGGGACTGACAAACCTTGCAACTGAAGATTCTGAATAACCATTTTTGTCAAATAAATAGTACTTAAAAGAATTTCTGGTCCAGTGGATAACGACTGTCATCACAAAACTGGATTGCACTGATTGCATCTTGTGAATGAAGCTAACAGAACTTGTAGAACCAAACAGTAGCATTCTGTGGTGGGATAAATACTGAGGCATTTGAGAAACAGCGAGACGCTGGTAATGAAACAGCTCTGTTCCAGTGCAGTCCTACAGTTATGCTAACCAATAACAAAAGGTCTTCGCAATGAAATTCTACTTTCAGGAGTATGCCCTCCCTCAGTAAGAAAAGGATGTGCAAAGAGGATTTGTCTTATCTGATCGAACCAATGTAGTGATGCTTTGTTCCTCAACTCCAGACATTTCAGGTCAGGGTGATCCAGCACTTTAAGAATGCTGGAGCTAAATTTCTGTTGTTACACATTAAAAAGCAGAAGTGACAGCTCCATTCACAGACTTGCACTATGGAAGCTGCAGGAAAGAATATTTTGTATTACTTTTTTTTTAGTCTGTCTGGGGCAGTTGAAAGCATAAGGCATGTAAAATTTGATCTTGCTCCTTTTCTATCTTAATCCGTAACTACTAATTTTCTCTGTTACATATTTCTTAGCATGTTAATCAAGTACCGATGATGTTTAAGTCTATGTATTTTTTGTGCTTGCATTGTTTGATGTTTCCTGCTAGACTCTTCTGCGCTGTACTCAGCTCTAGGCTTGCAGCACCGCAGGGGTAAGGTGGTCTCTGGTTTCCATTAGCTGCCTTATACTGGTTGCACTATTCTTTTGCTATGGGAACAAGGAGCTTGTAATAAGGTGTTAACAGGCTGCTAGCTGCTTTATTGTTACTATTGATTTAAGGTGTTAAGACTTTAATATAATCATACACAATGAATAATATTAAGAGATTAGTTTAAAGCTGAACCAGCCATTAAGTTCAAAATAAAAAGCAACACACTTTCTAGAACTTTCTAGAACTTTTCCCTGGCACAGGTATCCTGTGCTCAGTTATTCTGCTGGCATCACTGCATCTGGCTTTTTCAAACATGGCTTTTTAGTCCTGTTGATCTTGCACTGAGACTGGTGATACAGAAGGGGCACCCTTGGAATGGTGGATTCTGGTTTTCACTCTTCATTTCTTCATGAGGTGAAGGAAGACCTAAGTGTGACTTAAGGCTTCAGAGGAAAAGAGTTAATGTCAGTTGATGGGCTGAGAAAAACAGAGGTTTTTGAATGCAGAGAACAACGTACAGTCCAACATATAATATGGCTGTTAATTAACAAGCAAGAATGTGAGACTAATGACTAGAAATAACGGGCTGACACTTCATTTCAACGCAGAGGCAAAGCCCGCCGCTGGGCTCCCACACGGTTTATGTACCCCTCCACCGGCACTGCACCTCCCGGCAGGCCCCGCGGCAGCGCCCGGAAGCTTTGGCCGCTGTGCCCCCTATTTCCGGCAGCGCCGGCCACATGACGGTGCTCCTCCCAAGATGGCGGACAACCTGCCCTCGGAGTTTGATGTGGTGGTGATAGGGACCGGTAGGATACGGGGCGGGTTGCGCCGGGGTTAGTGCGGCGGGGGACAGGCCTGCGGGTGGCAGCGGTGGAGGGGCTGGGCGGGCAGGTGGTGTCAAGGTGCTGGCGCTCGAGAGGGGCAGTGGGAAAGCGGGAGGCAGAGCTAGCAGCTGAGTGCAGGGGCGGCAGCGTCGTCTGGGGAGGGCGGGCCGGGAGGGGGCTAGGCTGTGTGTGGCTGCCGAGAGTACTTGCCAGCACTGCGCTGCGCCAGTGCCCCGGGCGCTTGCAGGCCGCTGCTGAGGATTAAGTGTCAAGATTTGCTCACAAATAGAGGTGTCCCGGAAGTTCGTGTGGCGCTGGTTTTCGCTGGGAGGGGGTCTCCCTGAACCCCGGCCCCATGAGCCGGCGGGGCACACCTGCTGCTCCAGCCCACCTGAGATAAGGCCCTTGTTCGGGCCTTGTCTGACTCCTGAAACACTGTCCTTCTGGACGTGATTACTTTTTGCACTGAAAATAGTTCTGAAGAGCTAAACTTCACGGTGTTGCAGAATGTATGGTATATGTTGACTACCTTTTTTTTTATTATTATTGTTGTATTCTATAATACAGTAGCTTTTCCCTATCTCTGTGCCTGCATATGAATAACCCAGAACTTTTTTTGTTTCTTGAGTTCTCCTCATTAAAGTGTATTTTTCAGTATATATCATAAGATTGAATGATGGCACATATCAGAGACTTAACTGAACTTTCAGGAACTGCCTGCAGTTTCTGTATCCTGTACAAGTGCATCCTGTTTGCTGTTCAGGTGAATAATGGTGGAGATCTTGAATGTCTCACTGAAACATACCACAGCACTGTAACTACAAGACAAGTTTAAGAATATTTGTTCAGAATTAAGGTACTTGCTGCTTGTGTATCATAATCTTTAAGTATGGAAATAGATTTCTGTTTTGTAGAACACAGTGACAGTGTCCTGGTTTGAACTGGTCTTGTTAAGCACCACCACCCCCACCCCCCTGCTTGAATTCAGCATTGAGCTTTAGTCTTAAAATATTCAATACATCACTGTTTATAGGTCCAAGATTTACACTTAGATTTCATTTGCATTTATGAAGAGCTCCCATGGTCAGCTCAGAGCATTGGTTGCAGGACCAGAAGTGAAAACACTTGAAAACAATACTGTTTTCCATGTGAAATCAGGAGCTGTGTTTTTGGAGTTTACTAATCTGTCAAATTGTGGCCTTCAGGTTTCAGACTACTTATCCAGTAGCTTGGGATAGAATGAGTGAGTTTCTTAATGTAATTGCTGTTTTCAGTGTTTACCAGGAAAAAGTGATCCCCTTATGGTGTATGTATAACTTCTCAAAGGATTTCTCATTTACTTCTGAAGTCTGTGAGAGATTATAAAGACATACTGTCTCTGTAGATTGTAACTCTACTAAACGTGCAAAATTAAAGTTGTTGAGCATCTTAAGATCATCATCATCACTCTGTTGTATGGAGTGGAAACCTTGGTAATGAGTCTGACATTTTCATACATGTCCAGATTTGTGACTATTATGAGCATTTGAGAAGAACAGTAATGAAAAGCTGAAGCGTCAGAAGGGCAAACTACTAAAAATTGTAAAATTTCTCTGATTTTTTGAGGATAATTCATTCTGTATTGCCATGAGAAAAACAGTGATGTGGAAAATTAAATGAAACTCAAAAGTTTACAAAAACAACATTAATGATAAGCTATTTAGCTATTCTAGCTACTAAGGAAACTAGAAGGTGAAAACAGTAGAAGTAGCTATTGTAGCTACTAAGGAGGCTAGTGAAGGTGTTACCTCTTTAGAAGAGCTGACTAGAACTTAGATAAATAAGACTTCATCTTTTAATGGTTCCAGTGCTGCCAGTCTTTTCTTCTGGAGCTTTTGTGACTAATCCACTCACTGGCAGCCCTGGTGCTGAGGAGAGCGCAGGCCAAGGGAGCTGCCTCAGCAGTGGCAGGTGACTTGTGTGCTGCCTTTGACGACCCGTCATGTGTTGTGCTTGCTGGGCATGTGTATAAGTAGTATCAGGCAGCTCACTGTAGAGGAATGGTGGTTGGTGGTGGGATGTCAGATGGAAGAGACTGTGTATGCTGAGGCAATCCATGTACACTGTTAGAAGACTTTGCCTGGAACTGGCAGTTCACCAGCAGACTGAACTGTCTGTCCCAATAAAAGTTGGTCATGCAGGAACCACTGAATATGATCTTCCCTGCTTTGGAATGAGCTTTGATGTTGGGGGAAAGAGATTCTTTGAGCTAAATTTTCCCTCTGAAATACTGCTTTATTTGGTGGTGGTAGTGTGAATTTGCACTGAAGGTTGTGGGTTTGCCCGCCTGTAGAGATTACTGCTATAGGCAATTTCAAGATTTTCAGAAACCTGCATTTTAGGAATTATTTTGTCTTTTATTTTTTTGTATTCCTTTTTACCAAGAACATATGTAAATGGTGACTAACGCTGCTGACTGCTTTTTAAAATCTGTATTAAATTACTCAGTATGGAAGATTATTCGAAGTAAAACTTTCACCAGTCTTCTGTTCTGGGAAATTACTCCTGGGAGAACATTTTAGCCTTGTCTTCAAATCTGTTGTTTTCTGATCTATAACCAGTGCTGAGTATACCTATGGATATTTAATTATCATATTGTAATAACTAGAATGTTTGTGTTAATGATATTTTTAACTGCATAGTAGCAATTGTGTTCTTTTCTGCATGTGTGGCCTTTTTCTGGTTTTATAGTTGGTGCATCTGTTAATTTTAGTAATTAGATTGAGTGGTAACATTAGATTTGAATTTGTTTTTATTTCAGGCTCATTTAACTGCTTCCCTGTAGTAAGCTTGATGAAAATGGAACCTCACACTAAATTTTAGTCATCAGTGCTCCATTTAATGCTTAGGTTCAATAACTTCATCAATATTTCTAAGGGAAAAGTAAATTCGCTTATTGAAAAACCTACGTTTCCTTCACCCACATTAAATATTTTCTTGCATGGGCAAGTTTAGAACAATATGGATGTGTAGTAGAAAAGTAATTAGTACTGGTGGGTTCAGCAGAAAAAGTTTCACTACTATCATGGAATTTAAACCCGTAATTCTAAAGAAAAACTAGATAATCATGTGATGTAAAACTGGTGGGCATACCTTGAGATTTTTGATGGCAACACAGTAGGAGAATTAAACCTGTTCTGACATTGTTCTTTTGTTGTACCCCTTTTTTTGTTGCAGACTTGAAGTCAGTCCCATCCCTCCACCCCCCAGCCTCTCATACCCCTACTTTCCTGCTTTTTTAGTATAGCACTATGGTCAAGTTACCCTCTAACCAAACAGGAATGGATTGACTGGGTGATTCTTTGCCAAAGTAGATACTATGCAATACCATCAGTCCTCAAAGTATTTCTGATATTATGGAAGGTCTTTGAAAAGTGATACCCAGTCATTTTTATTTGTATAAAGCCTGCAGGATCTAGATTTGGAGGGCTGATGCAACTGCTTGCTTGAGGAATTAAAGGTTGGCATTAATCATGTTCATTTAAATGAGTTCATTATTGATAAGCTTTTGTAGGCTCAACTTTTATATCAGTGCAAGTATTAAAATGGTAGTACATTTATAGCAAGAGGGTATGAGTTCTATGATAAATATTTCTCTCAAAAAAACAGGTATCTATTTGAGAGTGACACCTGGAGCTAGGAGTCAATGACAGAGCTTTTGTCTTTAGGCAGTTTTCAAGTAGGAAAATTCATAGGCAAAACTTTCAGCAAAGTTGAATTTCTAGCAGAAACCACTGTAAGTGCAAAGATTTTTAGCATGGCTGTGCATATTGATAAATGGTGTAAATTAGGATGCAGGATTATTCTTACCTTGAGTTTCTTAAATTGATTGGATTATATTCAGTTTTCACTTCTTAAGCTTGTCTCTGATACTCCAGAAGGCCTGTATTAATTTTGTTGGTGAAGTTGTCAAAGAAAGGCTATGGCTCTTTAAAAGGTGGTTGTATTCAAAGGTTTCTCTGCTAGTAATCCTAATTTTTTTTCTAAAAAGGAGTTATTCTTTATAAAAGCAGTCACAGTAAATTTTCTAGTTCTATGCAATTTTCTTTCCATTCTGGTTTTCAGTGGTTATAAATAACACATGAAATGACTTTCAAGGTAGAAAGCAGGAATCCATTTTGAAATATTCTATAAAATAAAGAGTGATTTATGGTTTAATATGATTTTGGCTGAAAGCACTCGGGCTTTGCCAGGTCATCAAAGTCCTGTCAGGAGAATCTATTATTTATTGTTCGATATGCTGGGAGTGGTGTAAGTACTTTATGTTTATCTTATGTAAGTACAGTGTTAGGAAAAATCACTTTGAAATACTAATATGATTTTTAAAACATACCATGGAAAACTAACATAATATTATAGATGTGAATTCAGAATTTAGCCTTGAAGATTGATTAAAAAAAAAAATTAATAATTTCTAATGTTTTCATTCTTACAGGATATGTTTAGAATGCGCCTAGAATGTTTGCTGATCTGTCTTGTGTGCTGATACATTGGTTACATTAAATAAAATCCCTCACCCTGAAGTAATCAACTTTCAGTTGTAGTTCAAAAAAATGATCTGCCAAATTGGGTGCTAGTTTTTTAATCTGATATCCTGAATCAGTGTCTTGGACATTCCATGAGTGAAATGTTCAGATGCAGCAGAACTTTGATGGGCAAAGACAATGTGACTCATCTAGTGATGCAGTTTCTATATAAATGTTTAAGAAGCTAAAATGCTGTTGTCTGAATTTCATGTATGTTCATTTTTCCGCTATCTTTGATGCTAATTTTCCTGGGCTGTTATGACTTGAAGCCAGATTCAGAAAGTGTATTTTCTTAACTGGTTTGGGGGGGGGGGGGGTATTATGATTATTTTTAGTTCCTCTTCAGAGAGCACTGCTTGGTTTGAACATGATTTTTAGTAACAAGTGAAATTTTTATTTGGAGCATAAGTGCCTGCT